TGTCCCACCGCATGGTGCGGAGCCCCTGCTGCCAGCACCGCCAACTGCTACGCTCACGCACTAACTGTTTTTGATTTCGTGTTTCATACATGTGTTTGGGGAGGCGTGCGCCGCAAGCGCAGCCTCCAACATCGCACCGTGATGTGACATACGCAGTGTCGGCTGGCTGGCACTGGCAGGCACAGGGTCCAGCTTGGGGGGGGAGAGCAGCTCACGCGTCCTGGCCTCTGCTGGCAGCCACGGTGCCAGGCCAGCCGGGTTTCGCCCTCGTCAACCTGCCACCTTGCCGACATTGCAACATGCTGCCGCTGCGCCGCGCCGCGCCGCACCGCCGCGCGCGCTCACTCAGCGGCCTTGCCCAGTGTCTTGGGCAGCTTCTTGGCAGCCTGCTCCATGATCTCCTTCTTGCTGTAGTAGTGGGGGGCGATCTCCACCTGCGGTACATATGGGCGGTACAGCAAGTGCGCAGCACTGTCGACCTGTGGCGGTACGGTGGCATGGTACCATCCCAGGTTTTTTGGATGCATGTCAACAGCTTGTCAGGCAATGACAAGGGCATGACGTCTTGTTGACAAGTCCCATGTCACACAGGACAAGGGAGCAACATGGGGCTTGTCAACAGGGGGCTTTGGAACAGGAGGCTTGTCGACACCATGTCGGGCGTAACATGGTGTCGACAAGCGTCCTATCCACAAGGGCAAATGTCAACAAGCTGTTGAAATGGGATCCCTGAAGTAAAAGGTAAAGGTAAAGGTGGGGAAGAGCCTAGGCTCCACAGGCTTAACTTCCTGGTTTTAACGTCTAGCTTTAGACCAATATTTGATCTAGGTGTTACAGTCACCCCGCTATGATAGGCCGCGTGAGCAGACCTTGGGCAGGGGGCACACGTGATCAAGGGGCATCAAGAGAGGGGGTGGACCATGGAGCACACTCTCCATGGCTCCGACCACCCTCCCCCCAGCTGAGCGTCCCAAGGTCACCTCACCCTGGCCCCGCTCCCCGTCCTGCCGGACACGCAACCCCCACAACGTGGTGGGGGGCGTGGGGATCCTTGGCAGCTTAGGCCTGCCAAGCCGACAGGTGCCGATGCTGGTGCGGGCTCCCGGCGGCAGGCAGCGCCGCCGCCGGGCACTCAGATGCATCTGAGTGCCATATGGCACACGGGCCCCCATGCCCGCACATCTCCCAGGCACATGAAAATACCAGAAGGCTGCACATGTAAGGGTGCATGCATTGCAGGCAGGAGTGCAAAGTGGCCTGCCGCGGCGGTCGGCTGTGCCATTACTCAATCAGCCGCCGCTACTGTGCTGGGCTTGGCGTTCCCATGCCAACATGCCGGCGTACCATCGCGCAATGGCCAGTGAGTGTGTGAGGTGGTGGTGGGGGTGGTGGGGGTGCCGCTGACCGCTGCTTGCTGACGCTGACGCTGCTCTTACCTGCGGGGGGAGGGGGTGGGTCGGGAGCCAAGGCCGGGCAAAAGATGCCTGGGCCCTACTCAAGGGAACCGGGGGAGTCACTGCGCCAGGGCAGCAGCATGCTCCTCATGGCACCGGTCGGCAAACCGGGCCAGCCGGCCCTGCCTGGCCTGGCCGAGGAAGGCGGCCAGGGAGGGCAAGGCGTGGCCGGGACTGTGGAAGAGCTCAGCATACTCCTCCCTCAGCCCAGCGTATAGGGGGCAGTCATACACTGCGTGGCGTACGTCCTCTAGAGGGGCCTGGCAGCGGGGGCATGGGCGCTGGGTGCGGTCCAGCCGCTGCCACCGGCCTGTCTCCTCAGCCATCCAGTGCGACCCCGTGCGCCACTGCGCCAGGCGCACCCGGCGCCGGCGCTCGGGCACATCGCACAGGAACGACGCAGGCGTGTAGGCCTCCGTAGAGAGGCTGCCCCCCCACACGTCCTCAATGTACCGCTGCACCTTAACGGATGCGTGCGTGTACGTCTGCCTGACGCGCCAAGTGCAGTACCCCCACTAGTAGTGAATGGGTCCCGGGGAGGCCTGTGCCGAAGCCTTCGCGATTCTATTAGGCGTTCCCGAAGGAATTGGCTTGGATTGGCGCTGAGCCGGTCAGCTATGCCGCGTTTGTCCTCACAAAGTTTCGACATGGGAGGGATCGAACCTGTGCCCTCTCAGAGGGTTTAGACACTAGCTCCAGCGACTTCAAAGAAGGCCTTTCTTAGCCGCGGCCTGAAGTGAGCTCTAGGGAATGCTTCGGGCGTTCTCTGCTGCCCAGAAGGCTCCAGGCAGCCTGGACGCCCAGGCGTGGGACCCTCGTCGTCAGCCGCGACGTTAAATAAGGAGCTGGATGAGTGCCGGTGGGTGATACCACAGGCACGAGTTCGAACCCCAGCCGGAACACTAGCTGGGACTTTGCCTCACGGCACCTTCGTGGCGGCATCTGGGCGGCGGACGTCTGCCGGGCAGACCGGCATGGCGCTTGCAAGACGGAGCCTCCCCGGGATGCCATCGGCGGCCAGATTTTCCTCGCTCTGGACAGCCGTCAGGTTTAGCGGGTTCGGCGCCAGCACATTAATGTGCCCAATCCCCGTAACACACACACACACACACACACCCTTGGCCGCGACGTTAAATAAGGAGCGGGATGAGTGCCGGTGGGTGATACCACAGGCACGAGTTCGAACCCCAGCCGGGACACTAGCTGGGACTTTGCCTCATGGCACCTTCGTGGCGGCATCTGGGCGGCGGACGGCTGCCCGGCAGACCGGCATGGCGCTTGCAAGACGGAGCCTCCCCGGGATGCCATCGGCGGCCAGATTTTCCTCGCTCTGGACAGCCGGCAGGGTTAGCGGGTTCGGCCCCAGCACATTAATGTGCCCGATTCCCTGTAACACACACACACAGACCCTTGCGCTTTTGCGCTTGCCCCATCCCCCCTGTGCCCGGTCTTCCCGCGTGCCGCCTTCACCTTTGCGGCCCCCGCCCGCCCGCCTGGCCGCTCTCCCAGCTACTGTGCCGGGGTGGGTGGGCCCGCTTTCTGGTGGTGGTGGTGTGCGGGTCCTCGACCTGCCCCTCCCCCCCACTGGTATGCTTGCCGCCCTTGGGCTGGCCATCAGGCGCCCCTCGACTCCCTCCCCGCCCTTTGCGCCCGACCGCTCCCTGAGCCCGCCCTTTGCCGCCCGGGCGGTATTGCATGCTTTCATACAGTCCAGAGGTATTGGGCACGGCTTGTGTGCCCCCAGCCCATCAATGGGCATTGCCTCTGTAACATCACAGATCACAGGACCCCTTGCGCCCTGCTGCCGACCGCAGCACTCGCAGCAGGCGCGGCCGCATGGGGTTAGCCACACACCCAGCGCTCTTCCGGCACCGTTTCACTTCTTTCCGGCGCATTGAAAGCCAAATTCATGCTTTTGGGCAGTCAAGGGCCCTTGCCTGCCGCTCTGGACGCGGGCCCATTACCGCACACCCCAGCCCTAGGTTTTCGCTGGCTCGCTGCCTTGACACCGTCTCCCGGAAGCATGCGAAGGTCACACAAAGACCGGGTGAGCTCAGCGGTGGGCTACCTTGGCCAACTGTCGCCCCCGATTGCTTGGTGGCGGGCCTCACCGAACGCCCGTGTCCGCATTTTGGCGGGTGGGTGCATGCGAGCACGAGGGGAGGATGCCTCCAGGGCAGCGGGACCAGATGGAAACGGGCGGGCCCTGAGATGGCATCCCCCGCCCCGCCACCCGCTCCATATCCCCGCTCTGCCGCCTTGCATGTGGAGGAGGTGCAGGGCCTTGTCATGCACCCCCCCAATGCAGCCTCACCACAATCAGGCAACCTTAAATCTACACTAGCATGACCTACATCTGCCCGATCCCCCCTTCGCGCAGTCCATTGTGCTACTCCCATCAAACCGCTGTCTCCCTTGGTGGCGGTGGCGGGGCGCTGCCCCGGGCCGCCACTCCCCACCAGCCCAGCTGCCTCCCTCGCTGTGCACACCACCAGCAAACACTCTCAGCTCGCCCCTTCCCTCCCTCACATATCCCTTTTCCCAATGTGCATTGCCGCCTTTGCATTTGGGTTGGCGGACGGGGCTGGGGTGCGTCTGCGCCCCCCTCCCCCTGCCCCAGTGTTTTCAGTTTCCCTGCCCCCAGAATGCTGTGTAAATGTGGAACACTGCTGGGAAGGGCAACAAGGGGGGTACATGTGGACAAGAGGTTTACAAGCAGCTTGTTTTCTGCGTTGACATGGCGCTTGCCGACATGGGCTGACAAGCCTCTTACTACAAGCCCCATGTCAGCAAGCGACATGTTGAGTGATCTTGTTGACAAGGGCTGACAAGGGCCCTTGTTTTTGCCTTGACTACACCATGTTGACACGGGGCCCAAAAGTTGGGATGACGGGAGGCAGGCGATTGCCACGGGCAAGCAGGGCAGCAGGTGGGCGGGCAGGCAGGCATAGGGGCAGCCGGCCATCAGACAGCTCCTAGCAAGCTGCAACGTTGCAGAGCAGGGGCAGGGCGGGCGGGGAGGGCTGCAGGCACCCACCAGCCACTCGGGCAAGATCTCAGACACCACCCGCATGTACTCCTTGGTGGTGAGCACTGAGGTACACGTGGGCGGCACGTATTGCGGTACATGATCGCATCACGGCAGTGCATCCACCAGCAGGCAGCAGCGAAGAAAGGCTACCAAGAGCGGGCGCCAGCAGAGCAGCACCGGTATCCGGTGGCAGCAGCAGCCGCGCGAGCACCGGCTGCCAGCGCAGCGCACTGTGCGTGACGCAAGCACAGCGGCCAGCCCCAGGTTCCCGGCAGCTGCTTGCGTTGCATGTCGCCTTGCTCCACCCCTGTTTTATTGGTTTCTTTGCTTTCGTTCGGTCCCCGTCCCGTTTCGGCGGGGAGCCTATGTTGCAAGCTAGTTCTTGCTGTTGTACCAGACTTTAAACCCACACAAGCACAAGCAAGGTGCCCCCCCGGCGGGCAACAGCGCTGGGTCGGGAGCGTAGACCCCCCCAGACAACAGGCATGGGAGAGGGATCCACACCCCCAGCCAATACATGCTGCCAGCAGCGCTCAGCAGCGCTCAGCGGCGCACAACGCTCAGCGGCGGGGGCAGGCGGGGGCTGCGGTAAGCGTGGCGGAGCAGGTGGCGAACCCCACCCGTGCACCCCTGCTGACCGCTTGCATTTCACCTGTTGGCACCAAGGTGTGTGATGCCCAGCATCACACACCTTTTTGGTCGCGGCTAAGAAAGGCCTTCTTTGAAGGCGCTGGAGCTAGTGTCTAAACCCTCCGAGAGGGCACAGGTTCGATTCCTCCCATGTCGAAACTTTGTGAGGACAAACGCGGCATAGCTGACCGGCTCAGCGCCAATCCAAGCCAATTCCTTCGGGAACGCCTAATTGAATCGCCAAGGCTTCGGCACAGGCCTCCCCGGGACTCATTCACTACTAGTGGGGGGTACTGCACTTGGCGCGTCGGGCAGATCAAGTAATGGTCTAAAGCTAGACGTTAAAACCGGGAAGTTAAGCCTGTGGAGGCTCTTCCCCACCTTTACCTTTACCTTTACCAGCAGCCCCTACGGCCTCTCCCCACGGCGCCATGGCCCCCAAGCCTCTTCATTCTGCGACCCCGGCTGGCAGGTCGCCGACAGCGCTCAGTCGCTGCCCGCCCGTCGCCCCGCCATCGCCTCGGCGGCCGCTCCACGCGCCACCAGCAGCGAGGCCGTGGCTGGCTGGCTGGCGGCGTGGGGGCGTGTGGCTGAGGAGCAGGGCTGCCAGGTGCCGCCACGCACCCCGCAGCACAGCCAGCAGAGCCTGAGCAGCGGCGTGCTGCTGGGCAGCCCGCCCACGGCGCCGCTCGGCATCGGCACGCCGCCGTGCACGGCGGCTGTGCCCGCCTTCAGCGTCAGCCTGGGTGGCAGCAGCAGCGGTGGGTTCCGGGAGAGCTGGACCGCGGTGCTGCCATACCTTGAGCCCTCCAGCGCCGGCAACAGCAGCTGCTCCAGCAGCCCTGCGGCAGGCAGCGGCGACAGCTGCATAGGCATCAGGTGAGCAGCAGCTGGGCGGCAGCTGGCAGGCAGCTGGCCTGCGCCCCCCGGGCAGCCCCAAGCTGAGTCCTGCACCTGCTTGGCCTCCTCCGCTTGCCCGCCCTTGGCCTTCCTGCAACCAGCGCCGCTGTGCCCCTCCCCCAACCCTGCCGCAGTGCCGGGCATGCCGCCAGCGCGGGCCAGCGGCTGCGCTGCGCAAAGCTGCCGCAGCCGGCGTGGAGGGCGGCGCCGCCGCCTGTCGCAGCGCCCACCGTGGCGCTCGCCTCGCCGCCTGCCGCCATGCCCGTCTCTCCCTTTGCTGCTTTCGCGGCTGTGACGGCGCCTGCCAGCGCCGACTGGTGGCTGGAGGGTTGGCTGGCGGAGGAGGACGAGGCGGCGTGGGAGCAGGCAGTGAGCGGGGGCAGCGGCTGCGGCGCCTCGCGGCCGCCGCAGCCGCGCTGAGCGCCGGCGCCCCCTGGCCTGCCCCCTTGCCGCGCTGTGGCTCGTCAGCCCTGACCCATCTCCGAAATAAAGTCTGCAGGCAGCAGCGGCAGCCTGCAGTGCTGCAGGCACACCACGCTTGCCATGCGGTTCAGCCCGCCATGTACCATCACCATTGCCTGCTATCGGTTGCACGCCTATAGACTACCAGCGCCCAAACAAACGACAACCTCGCCAGCTGACTAAGTGAACTGTCCGCGCGCCGCCTGTACACCCGCCATGGTTCCCGCCTGTGCCTGTTCCGCGCCTTTGCCGCTGGTGGCCAGACAGCCCCAGCGGCGTCGCTGTTAGGGTATCGTTGAGGTATCAACCCTCCCTGTGACTTGCCCCCGCACCCGTTTTGGGCAGCCGTTTGCCCCTTTTGCTTCATTTTGTATTACATTCTATTGTTTTGTATTGCATTGCAATACATCGCCGCACCTACCTGGTGAAGGAATCTCTCTTCCAAATGCGCGCCTTGTGCCGCACACCCTTCGCTGCAGCCTGCGACCCTGCACCCCTGGCAGGCCCCCACGATTACCACCCTTCATTGCCCTTCATCTGTCGTCCACTCGCCAAATCAATTTTCTTCAAGAACGGCTGAAATACATGGCCAACCTTTTTTCTTCCTTCTTCTTGCCCTCCCCCCTTGTGTACATCTGTCGCCGCCAAGACCTCTTTACCCCATTGTGTGGGTGGGTGGGTGGGTGTGGGGGGCGCCCCCCACCACACCAACATGCCATTTCGGGGACCCCGGGTCACTCCCTCGCTACTATTCGTAAACCTTTGAAATGGATACTGTGCGTGCCCCTTTCGTAGTTATGCCCCTTTCATACGTGTTTACACCCTGTACAGGTGGAAAGCTGCCCCCTGCGGCGCCTGCCCATGCACACATTGG